TGAAGACTTTTCTCCATCATGAGTTCGGTCGTGGCGGGGATGGGGTGGACCTGGAGAAAAGGCAACAGAGGTAGGGTCTGGGAGTGGACCTTGAAGGTGCGGGAGAGATTAGAGAAGTCGAGGGTGTGGATCGAGGATGTCGAGAAGACGGGCCCAGGGGAGACGTAGGGGACTCATTGAAGGCGGTGGAGGGGCGGGGATGACGGGGACACGGCTGGGCGGGGAGAGGAAGGGAACGAGGGGATTGGGAGGCTGAGGAAAGAACGAGAGGGGGGAGGGGGATGACAGAAGAACCAGATGGGGATAGTGGCAAGGGGGAGGGGGGTGGGGAAGATAGTGAGGGCGAACGGGGGAGAGCATTGCGGAGACTACTGTCCTCCTCTCTCACGCCTCCCTCTCCCTCCCTTTCCCTCTCCCTCCCCCTGCCCATCTCCCTCCTCCATCCCACCCTCCCGCCGTCCCTCGCTCCCTCGTAGAGCCTCCCTTCCTCACTCCTCCCTCTCTTCCTCCCTTCTCCCTGCTCGGCCCAGGGGCACCCGAGTGGCTCCCCACCTCCGTCACACAGGGCGCCCCCTGGACATTAGGGTGAACGTCCCGTGTTCCACGTCAGCTGCTGCCAAGGGCAGGTCCCTTTCAGGCCTGGCCCAGTGCCACCGCTGGCCTGGCTGCGTTGTCTAACTTTATTCATTGAGAGGCTGACGAGAAACACAGTGGACGCCGCTGCAAGAATGGCACTGGGGCCGCAGTCTGCCGCGAAAGGCGCCCGCTTGACGAGGAGGGGGGTCCAAGGGGGACAGGCGTGAGACGTGCGCTTCGGCAGTGGCTGCCCAGCGGGGAAGGGGAGGAAGAGGGATGGGCGGGGGGGCGGGGGCGGTTGTGGTGGTCGTGCTGGTGGTCGAGGTGGTGGTTGTGATAGTGTTGGTAGTGGTGGTCGTGCCGACGGTGATCGGGGTGGTGGTGGGCTTGTTAGTGGCGGTCGTGGTAGTTGTGGCGGTGTTTGCAGGCGCCTCTGATCATGGTAGTTGTCGTTGTGGTGGTCGTGGTTGCGGTCGCTGGTGTCGTGGCGTTGGCCCCCGGCTCTTGTGGTGGTCACCATCATGTTTGTGGAGTCGTTAAGTGCTCGTTCAAACGAGGTGCTGGTGCAGCGTGTTGTCATTCATCGGCACGTTGTTGGCGCAGCCGCAGCCATTACGACACCTTGCTGGCGTGTGTCCCTGGACCAGGTGTGCCCTTTCACAGTGGGCATCCTCAGTCCGAGGGGCTTGGCACATATTCGAATGCTGATCTCTTTAAAAGGTGCCTGGCATCCACAAGGTATCAGTCTAAGCCTCTCCACAGCTGTCTGTTGCAGCAGTTTTGCAGGTAAAGATCGGCTGTGGCCAGGCATGCCGCGCGCAGATGTGAGACCTTCTTGGTGCCTTTGCGGCGCCACGCAAGCGTCACAAATTCAAAAGTTTGCTCCGCCGTCCTGCGCTCCACTCAATGCTGTGGTCGCGGGGGCTGGGGATCGCACATGTTTGCGCGTTCGCCTGTGTGCGGATTCAATGGGGGCCGTGGGACATGGCGTCTTTCGGCAAGGGTTTCCTGCAGCACCACGCGCCTCCGAAGGCGGGGGTGGGGTCGTTACAATCAAACGAGGTGCCGGTGAAGCGTGTTGTCATTCATCGGCATGTTGCTGGTGCAGCCGCAGCCATTATGACGCCTTGCTGGCGTGTGTCCCTGGACCAGGGGTGCCCTTTCACAGTGGGCATGCTCAGTCCGAGGGGTTTGGCACAAATGCCAAAGATGGTGCATACTGGCGTCTGCAAAAGATGCCTGGCAAACCAAAGGTTGTATTCGTACGGTGTCGGGGTGGGAGAGGGCGTCGTGATGATCGTGATATTCTTGATGGTCGCTGTGATGGTAGAAGCGGCCTGCTAGCGCTTACGTGCCCAGGAAATGTCGCCCCAGATCTGGGCTGAGACGGGCGGACTGGTCGGCGTCTTCGGGCAGGCGCCGTAGCTTCGCGCGCAGCTCGCTGCCCGTCGGACGGCCGCCCGACAGTCTCGCAGACCGTCGGGACGAGGTAAAGGTCGCATTCCGTCTTGCCCTCGGTGTTGGCAGCCGGCGGGGCAGACAGGCGTTCGAAGTCGGCGCGTGAGGTTCGTTACGAAGGAGTCATCTGGTGGTGGAAAGTCACCTGGTTGCCCAAGATGATGGATTGCCCTTGCGCCGACTCCGCCGCGCGCCCGTAGCGCCAGCCGCCGGTCTTCGGAGGACTCCCGCATCAGTCGCTTTTTGTTTTTCCCTGGAGCCGCCTGGCCTCACAGTCCCTGGACCGTAGCTTGGGGCTCTTGCAGACTGCGGGCCCACTCGATGCGCTGACGGGCTATCACCCCTGAGGCTCGTAGCACCCTCTCGGTTTGGACCAGTGCCTCGAAGGTTCGCGGGCAGCGCGTCCAGAACCCCTCGAGTGTGCTCACGTCCAGACACTTCGCCACGTCGTGGAGACAGCGCGCGCAACTCGCAGCGTAGTCTGCCGATGCCGTTTGGGCAGCGGACGGGATTGCGCAACCTCCGTCCGTGAAGCGCATGGGGGCCTGCAGCCTCTGGAGCTCGTCTAGTTGGCCGCCTCCCAATTCCCTCCTCTTTCCTTCGCTTCCAGCTTGCTCTTCTTCGTCCATGTCGCCGAAGTCGACGCCGAGACCCGCGACGACCCCCCCAGGTGTTGGGGGCGCCATGGATGCAAACGCCCCCTGCACGCGCACCACGCCCATGGCGTTTGGACAGCGACGAGCTCGACGTTTTCGGCCTGGGGGAGGTGACGTGGTGACATGACGCCTCCGCCACAGGGCGACGCCATGGCTCCTGCCGATCCCCGCCCTGTCGGACGGCTGCAGCGCCGACAACCCGAGGTCGAGCGCTCCAGGCCCTGCCTCGGGGCCTCGCCCCGCTTTTGGATCCACCGCGCACGCTGGGAAGGCTCGGCGTCGCGTGGAGGCTTTGGGCCCGCAGTGATTCCCGCGCCCGCGCCGACTGGAGGCGTCGCCAGCCCACTTTTGCCGCGAGCCGTGGGCCCCGCGGTCCAGGTAACGCCGGCCGCCCGAGGTCACTTGCGCCCGCGAGGGGTGGGCCATTGTCAGCGGCTCGAGCGGCGCCGCAGCCTTCTCCGCCGGGAGTGAAGGGAGACCACGGCGCTGCCGCCGCCCACCCGCTCGCGCACGTCAGTTGGGGGCAGGGGGGCTCGTGCCGACCACCCGAGGCCGAGCGCCGTGCCTCTTGTCTCGTCTTGCCCCTCAGCCTGGACCTGCACATGCTGCGACGGCGCTTTCCGCGCCAGGTCGTCCCTCCGCTCGGGCAGGGGCGCCACGCGCTGCGGCTCCTCCAGGCGCCACTTTCGTGCAGCGCCACATCGCCGATCACGACGCCCAGGCGGCGAGCCTTCAGGTTGCGGCTGCGTGCCAACGGGCCGCCACCTAGCGCCTCGGGGCGGCCGCGGGCGCCACGGGCACCCGCCTGCAACAACACGTGGCCGTGCCCGTCGCTCACGGGGAGCACGCCCGTACTCGGCGAGCCCACCGAGGCAGGCCTCGCGGGCCTGCGGGTCCACCGCACGCACCTCGGCCCCCGCCCACCGCGGGCCTCGCCATCTTGCGGCGAGCGCCGCAGGCGCCACATCGGGCGCAGCGCCGTCGTTTCCGCCTGGCCTGCAGCCCGATCCGCCTGCAGGCCCCGCCGCGCCGCGCCCTCGGATGGTTGCGACCCCCGCAGCCACGCCCATACCACACCGCCAGGCGCCTAAGCCCAGTGGCTGTGCCGCACCCGCGGCACGCCAGTTCTCCCGCCTCTCTCTGCGAATTCTTTTCTGGCGTCAGGCGCCGTCGATGGCTCCTTCAGCCTCTGATGCCCATTCAGGGCCCATCGCGGGAGGGGAACTACCCGATGGGTGCCCGCACTGCGATCTGCGGGCGAGCTCTCCATTCGCCAGGGAGGAACCTTTCGGCCCCAGCCTCCCACCACGGACATGTTTGCTGCTTGTGTGAGGCCCCTCTCTTCCTCCCTCCATCCATCCCTCCTCTCTCTTCTTCTCCGTATCCTCTTCCCTGTGTCTCTCTCTCTCTCTCTCTCCCTTATGACTTTACACGTTTAGTTTTTCGTCGCCCTTCGACTGCGATCTCTTGTAAAGTGTTGATGGCCGCTTTTCGTCAGGCTCCTCTGCTTCTGCAGGAGGTGCTGTTCAGGTAGTCTGTACGCTTTGTCCCCACCTCCTCCTTGCCTTCCTTCCTCCCCTTTCTCCTCTCTGCCCTCCTCGACGCTCGCGTTGGGCAGCTGCGCGAGTCCCGTCTGCAAGACCCAGTGAGGTGTATGTACGCACGCGCGCGCGAGTTTACATTTTGTCGTCTTTCTTCTGTTCTGCCTTCTACAATTAAGTGTGGCACTCTGTGGTGCACTGTAGCTACGATAATGTGATTCCATCCGCGGGCCGGACGCGGGGATCTGCAGTGCAGCTCCTCTTTTTCTGCCCGCTTCTCCTCGGCATGCGTGCTCTTCGCCAGGCTTTGCGCAGTTGTCGGAGCCCCAGACTCCCAGCCTTGCGCGGTACGATGCTCATCGAGGTTACGTCCCCCCTCTGTTCCCTCCACCCTCTCTCCCAAAGTAGTTGTGCTGGGAGACAACTTCCCTGCTCGGGCGAGGCACTTCATCGGTCTCGTCCTCCCCTCCCCTCCCCTCCCCTCCTCTCCCCTCCCCTGATTCTTCTTCAGAGCGTAGGAGAACAGCCCCTGGCCGAAGCCACCAGGTCATCGCTCAGCTGGAGGAGCATCCGATGCTGCGGTCGGCGTCAACTCCAGCGCTGCCAAGGCTGCGGCCTTGCGTCGTCGTCGTCGTCGTCGTCGTCGTCGTCGTCGTCGTCGTCGTCGTCTGTGTCGTCGCCTGTGTCGCCGTCTGTGTCGTCGTCTGTGTCGTCGTGGTCGTTGTCGTGGTCGTCGCCATCCTCGCCGTCGTCGTCGCCGCCGCCGTCG